TATATTTCACAGTAAACACCCATTTGCATCCAATAGGTTTCTTCCCTTCAGGTTGGTCAACTAGTTCCCATGTATTGTTCTTGACAAGAGCATCCATCTCTACTTGCATTGCTTCCTTCCATTCAGGTATCAAAAGGGCTTGTTGCACTTTTCTGGGTATAGGAATAGCAAAAATAGATGCCAAGTAAGACCTGTAGGATTCTGAGAGACAATTATGGGAAAGGAACTTGGAGATGCAATGGGTAGTGGATGAGGTGCAATGGCGCTTCCCTTTATGAATAGCAATTGAAAGATCAAGGTCATCTGATGGTGGAGGTTGAGCATCTATAATAGTGGGATCAACAGTGGGAGCAGTAGTAGTGTCTGGATCTGGGGCGGTAGTATATGTTGGAACTTGCCTGGATTGCTGTTGAGTACGAGTGTCAACCTGCCTCCACCACTTTCTGTGATACACTCTTAAATCTCTGCATTTTTGACAACCTTCTTCACAACTCCCTCCCTCAGTAACTGGGACAGGTAAATGAACTTTTGGGGCTGAAACTGAAATCCCTTCCTCACTATTCTCCCCCTGAGAAAGCCCTATGATAGTAGGGCATATCCTCAAAAAAAGTGACATTCATGGACACAAAGCGTTTCCCTGAAACCGGCTCATAATAACAATATCCCTTTTGATTTTGTGCATACCCAAGGAAAATACACTTAGTAGCTTTGGGATCAAACTTGGAGCGATGAGATCCAAGGATTTCAACAAAACAAGTACACCCAAAAGTTTTGAGGGGAATAGTGAAAAGATCCTTATCTGGATATAAAAGGCTGAATGGGGTTTGCATGTTTAGAACCCGTGAAGGAACCCTATTAATAAGGTATACGGCTGTACGGATTGCATCCCCCTAGAGGCGTATGGGAACATTAGAGTTGAGCATGATGCTTCTCGCTACCTCTAAGATATGCCTTTTTTTTTTCTCTCAGCAACCTCGTTTTGTTGAGGTGTATGAGGACATGTGCTTTGATGAATGACCCCATGATCAAGGAGATAGGATGCCAAGGGTTTTGCAAAGTATTCCCTGGCATTATCAGATCTAAGAGTTTTGATCTTGGTTTCAAACTGAGCTAGAACCATTTGATGGAAGGCCTAGGTTAGGGAAGGGACCTCATCTCGAGAGTGCATAAGGTAGACCCATGAAAAGTGGGTATAATCATCAGCAAATAATAAGAAATATCTGTACCCCCCCCCCACCATGGTGGGAGTATGATATGGCCCCCAATCATCAGTATGCACAATTTCAAAAGGAAGGTTGCTTCTTTTGTTACTTAAAGGATAGGATGATCTACTGTGTTTTGCAAGCTCACAACTTTTACATTTTAACATAGACACTTCTACTGGCTCAAACGAGTTTAGAAAAAGACTCTTCAAAGACCCAAAAGATAAATGACCTAAACGGTTGTGCTAAAGCATAATCTTACTAAAAGACTGAGAAACAAACAATTTCTCTACTTCACTCTGCTCCCCCTATGAATGTTCAAGCAGGTAGACTCCATTCATCTCACGGCCAGTCCCAATCACCTTCTTTGTATCCAGATCCTGAAAAACACACCGATCAGGGAAAAAGGTTTCCGGACAGTTTTGATTTTTAGTAATACTACTAATTGAAAGTAAGTTAGCACAAAGCTTGGGAACATGCAAAATTGAGGATAGGGTGATTGTATCTGACAATCTGATGTCTCCCTTGCCAGAAATTGGTACAAGAGAGCCTTCAGCAATGGAAACTGTCTCTCCCAGAGGATAGACAATAGGTGCTAAATAAAATAGATAAGCTGGTCATATGGTCTGAAGACCTGAATCTATTACCCAGAAAGGTCTAGTATTTACCTGGGACAGAAGCATGACATGCAGTAGCTCTTCTACCTGTATGAGCAAGGGCTGAAGTAGGATGAGCTGGTGTGGTAGCTGAAGACTGAGATGCAGATCTAGAAATACTAGCTTCTTTTTCTAATGGTGTCAATGTAGCTCGGACAGCTGCCAAGGCATCCAAGGATGTGGTCCTTGTGCTGGAAGAGTATGTACTGTCAGTAGTAGTTGCTGTATTAGTACTTCCCTTCTTGTTTTAAGTCTAGCTGGCATTAGGTGATGATGTAACTTCCAAAGGTGTCCCTAGTGTGTTTAGGCTTCTTGCAATGATCACAAAAAATATTTCTTTTGTCTTCCTTCTTAACTTCCTTTTCCTTTTCTCCTCCAACCTTGAATTTTGTTGCTGCCAAAGCCGCTTCTGTGTGCTGGAAGGATAGCCTTACCTTCCTCCTACTCTCTTCACTGTGGACTAATGAGTATGCCTGAGATAGGGTCACACTCTCCCTAGTGAGAAGTTGCTGTCTTGTAATATCAAAATCTGAGTTTGGGCCGGCTAAGAACTCAAAAACCCTGTTTGTTTCAATCAGTTTTCTATATGTTGCTGGATCTTTCTGGCTTTCCCATTCAATAGTTTCTAAGTGATCATTTTCATGCCAAAGGGATTTTAGAGTAGCAAAATATACTGAGCTTGGCCTCTCTCCTTGCTTGAGGTTTTTCACCTCACATTTTAGTTCATAAGCTCTAGCAACATTGAGGGGTTGGGAATATGTCTCCTTCATGCTGTGCCAAATCTCCTTGGCTGTTTTTGCCTAGAGATAGTTTTGGCTGATGTGGGGCTGTATAGAGTTGCATAGCCAGGTCATCACCAAGTAGTTCTCTTGAACCCATCTTGGGTGAGATATATCCTCCTTGGCTGGTTCTTTTGTGTCTCTGGTTACATACCCTAATTTTCCTTTGCCCCCAATGGCCATCATTGCCGATTGGGCCCATTCCAAGTAATTTGTTCCATCAAATCTAACAGTGGTAATCTGGAACGTATTTTTAGTCATATTACCAGTCTCAAAAACTCCCCCTTTGAGTTTTTACCTCACTTCCAGCCTTTTCCATACTAAGTAGATCTCAAAGTTCCAAGAAAAAGACTAATTTTTTTCAAGAAAAAAAAAAACAGAGAGCAATCTGATCTCAGCAAGAATAAGTACTAGGACTTAGTTTCAGTTGATAGTTTCTCCTTAAAACTATAACTTGACAGTCCAGAAGCTGATTTCGGCGAAGAACAAGAGCCAGATATGTATCTTTTAACAGTCCACAATTTGACCTCAGCCAAGAGTGCAAACAGTCGATTCTTTGAAACAAAAAATGTAATCTCAGTCAAGGATTAATTCCTTGATAGATAATCCTGGACTGTACTCAGTCCAATATTCACAGTTAAAGATCAAGATCAGATCTTTTTTTTTAGCCGATCCCTCCAAGAAAGGTTCACAGTCAAGAAAATCAAAAAGTTGTTTGTAGGGTTAAGAACAAACCCTAGAAAAAATCAGATTTTCTCAGCCGTACCTTCTGAATAAGTTCAACTTATTTCTTACTACTGCTGTTTCAAGAAAGGATGAGATCTTACCCAGAAAAAACTCTGATCGCCTTCTTTAACTTTGATAAAAATCCAATCTTGAATCCTCTAACCTTCTCTGATTCTTCCTGATTACCAAGAATCACTCTCCAATCTTCAGACAGCTACTAAAAATCTCTGGTAACCTCCAAGAATCAGGCAAAAAACAGCTCCTTTCTATTCTTCCAGCCTTAGATGATTCTCATGTGGTAGCTGGGTTAGTCTTCACATGAGAAACCCTAGAATCTGGCTCTGATACCAACTTGAATAAATCAGAACTGCTGCTGTGTGATCTGAGAAGAGAACACAGGTTCGAAGAAGAGAGAGAGAGAGAGAGAGAGAGAGAGAGAGAGAGGGGGTTCAGTGGTTGATGTCTGCCGCCCCATACTCTATTATTAATAGCCTTTGATTCCTTACAAGAATAGGAGAGAAACACATAAAGTCCTAGTCCTAGTAAAATAAAACATAATATGGATGAACATAATAAGGCCAGCTGGCCCAATCTTAAAAGAAAATAAAAAATAACTAGGAAATAAAAATAATTAGGTGTGGGTATGGAGCCACACACACTAGAGCCTGAGTGTGGGTATGGAACCCCACACTCGTGACTTAGTAATTATTTCTTCAGTGTATAATGCTCCATCCAAAAATCCCTTAAACCAGATCACCATGTGCCTGGTCAGTAGTAGCATTCTCCCAACTTCTCTGATCTTCAGAACCCATCTTCCATTGTTACCCACTTCCTCCATGTTTAAGGTTTTTCACTTAATGTGGAGCACCCTTCTCCCCTTCGACGCCTTCACGAACTCTTCCATCTTCTTGACCGGGAATATTTCCAAGGTTCTTCAACTGATGTGGAAGGAAGATAACTAGAGAATGTTTATCATTCTATAATGAATATTCTTGTTATTCTCCTTCCTTTCTATTTCAAACCTCTTCCTCTTGTAGTTTGCCCTTTCTTCTATGGCTTGCTCATGTTTGTGTATAATGCTCCATCCAAAAATCCTTTAAACCAGATCACCATGTGCCTGGTCAGTAGTAGCATTCTCCCAACTTCTCTGATCTTCAGAACCCATCTTCCATTATTACTCACTTCCTCCATGTTCAAGGTTTTTAGCTTAATGTGGAGCACCCTTCTTCCCTTCGACGCCTTCACGAACTCTTCCATCTTCTTGACTGGGATAATTTCCAAGGTTCTTCAACTGATGTGGAAGGAAGATAACTAGAAAATGTTTATCATTCTATAAGGATCTTTATCTGCTTTGGAAAGTGCACAAACTTGTGATGTCCCTCACAGAAGACCCTATTGGTATGGATTTCCTCTCTCTCTCATTGGGGGGGGGGGGTTGAAGCCTTGACTCCTTTCTGATGTCTATACAATAATTTTCATATATGAGCTTTCTCATTGTTGATGAAAAAAGGAAACAAGGTTCATGAAAAATAATAAATAAGAATTAATAAGTTAAAATTGATGCTTTCTGCATTTTCTTTTCACAAAATCTTCTCACCCATTTTGATATAAACATGCTTGTAAATATACTCTGTCAGATAATCATCAAGGTAGCTGGATATTAGGTGGTGGATGGAACAATGATTTATGGGGAGGAGAGTTGCCAGTGGCATCTTGGATTGATGATGTTGCACCTAATAATCCTGTGAGAAGTAACATTATTGGTACAAGCTACCTGTGGAACTTTATTTTTCCTATTACAGTGCAATGAATTTATGATATTTTCATATGTAGGTTTGGTTATCAAGGATGGATGGTCACATGGGTTTGGTCAACTCAGTGGCACTGAAGATAGCTGGGATTACTAACAGCACAGAAGATCCTGTGGGTGGAACTGTCCTGAAAACTCCTAGTGGAGGTAAGGCTAGAGATTATATTAACAGACCTTATGTATGAGAGAAGTATATGTGTGCTGTTTTTTTACTTTTATTGAAATAGAAGGTGAAGTATTTCATTAGTATCTCCTATCAAAAAAAAGTATTTCATTACTATCCAGAATGAAAAGGATAACCCCTGTACAATGAGATTCCTTACCAGGGAAAACCAGAAAGATCCAATTATAACAAGCCCAAAGCCAACAAAAACCTATAATATCCTTATGAAAAGAAAATCTTGATAAAAAAAGAACTTGTGCGTCTGTTTTTGAATAGAGAGTGATTTGCTAACCAAGAAAACACCATTCCCAAAATGAATGTGTGCTTGTTTCTACTGCTTAGGTTTTGATTAATGTTTCAAGAAGCATCAAAACTATCATCTATCCTCTAGTTGTGTTTACATTCAACAGTCTATACTTCTATCAATTTTCCTTGATGTCACATGACACTTCTAATTTGTTAATGGCATCCTATGTTGATGTCAGTAAAACATGTTACCGGGTGCCACAAAAGAATACTAAACCAAAATGAAGCTTCTAGTGATTGCATTTAGAAGGAGCGTCATAGTCATCCAATGTAATTTTGCTTTATCTCGTGTACTGGCTTTTCTCTTCTTGGCTTCTTCTTTCAGTTTCTTTTTTTATCAATAATGAACATGTTATTACTGATAAAAAATAATGAAGATTTTATTGGTGATAAAAAATGGAAGGAGTTACAAATAAGGGCTTTTTGCATAAAAATTAACAAAGTTACGACTATTGACAAAATCAGAGACGTTTGGAAAAAAATTTCAAAAACAGTGAACCGTACAAAAAGCTTGTTATTTTTGACCAAATTGCCCCTTATTAAAATCCCACCCATTAGGCATTAGGCCAAACTTTACTTTCATTTTTTCATTCTTTCGTCTATTTCTCTTTCTCTGTATCTCCCTCTTCACTTTGTTAGGGCATCCATTTATTTCTCTATCATTTTTTTTTGTATTTTTCTTGTATGTTGAAATAAAGTTGGAGGCTTCTATCTTTGCAAAAAACATGGCTCGAGCTCTTTACAATGGGGAGAGAGGATTTGTGTAGCCGACCACAAATATTTGGAATTGTGTCTTGCTTGAGTCTGAAGTTGGTTTATTTCGAAGAAAAAAATGAGCTTGATTTCTTCCAGATTTGTCAATTATTTAAGAATAAAATCTCTTACAAGAATGCCCAATACACTTCCTAGAGAGTAAAAAACCTTAAGAGTTCATCATTGTCTCACAACTTTGCGTTTTGGCGTAGCCATGGAAACTATTAAAACGGTGAAGGATGTTTCGCCTCATGAGTTCGTGAAGGTGTATGCTGCTCATCTCAAACAACCGGGAAAGATGATTGCAACTATAACTGATGACTCAAAATCAAAAATATTATTTTATTGCATACATAATAGATGATTGCAACTATAATTGATGACTCAAAATGCAAGTAATCATTCGGCCTGTGTACTATTGGATGGTTTCTAAATCTGTGAAACACCATCTAGTATCCACTATACTGGATGATCTATGCACTTGTGAGAATCATACAAAACCTTGTGGTTTATTGGGTTGTAGGTGCATTTGATGGTATAACTACAACTAGATCATCTAGGGGATAGATGTTTGCAACTATAAATAATGTTCCAAAATTGCGAGCAATCATCCGGTCTGTAGTACACAATCCAGAATTCTCCATACCAAATGGTCTCCATGTGCATCTATGAGAATCATATAGAACCATGTGGTTTATTTGGTTTTAAAGGAATTTGAATGTTTTAGGTTACTTGAGTAATTGATGATTATAACTATATTTGATGAGCAACCATCTGTCCTGTGTAATGTCAGATGGTTTCTATATTTGTAAAACACCATCCAGTCTCCACTATACCGGATGGTCTGTACACTTGTAAGAATACATATAAAACCTTGTGGTTTGTTGGGTTTTATATGAATTTGAGAATGTAAATACTATTTTGCCACCTGAGAGAGATATTTACAATTGCATTTGATGATTCAAAACTGCAAGCAACCATCTAATCTTTGTAATACGGATGGTTGCCAAGGCTGTAAAACACCATCCGATCTATTTGTTGTCGAATGATGCCTAAATCTGTTGAACACCATCCGGTCTATTATATACTGGATGGTCTGGGCACCTATGAGAATCATAGACAACTTTGTGTTCTATTGGGTTTTAGATGCATTTGAGGGTGTAAAAACTACGAGATCACCTGGTTGATCAATGTTTGCTACTATTTGATAATTGAACATTTTAAACGGATGATCCGGGCTTCCCTGTTGACTTCCTTGTCTCAGATGCAGCGACTTGATACGTTCTGTTTATTTATTTATTCATTAATTTATTAGTAATAACAAAACCATCAATATGATAAAAATCTTTTATCATTTGATTTAATACTACTACAAGTATTTGTTGGATTTTCTTTGAGAAAAATTTAGGCCTACAGATGTAGTCTTGGCTGAAATTGGACCACTTTTGGATAAAAGAATTGATTCTTTATTTTTCTTTTGATTTTGAGGAATAGTAGTGAAGATGTTTGGCAAACCCGATTCAACCCACTCTCTCCAAATTGTTCCCTACCCTGATGTCCCTCTTGTAATTTAGTTCCATGGCAGAGGTTTCATCCTCTTCAGCACTACAACCCTGTCGTTCCATTACTGATGTGCTCACGTGGCCTTTGGTTCAATGACTTGGGGAAAGTGTAGCAGTGGAATTGGTTGCTGGCTTGGTGAAGTCTAGCAATAGAGTTGGGTGATTTAGTGGTATTTATCGTCTTAAATGCATCTAAAAACCAATATGCAAACATGTTTTATATGATTCTCAAGTATGTACTAATCATTCGATATTTAATAGACCTAATGGTTTTTAACAAATTGTCACACCATCCGATACAAGAAAAGATCAGATGGTTTCTTCAACTTTCAAATTACCAACAAAAGTGTTAAACATCTATCACTGGTGATCTAGTGGTATTTGTAGCCTCAAATTCATATGAAACCATTATGTTGGATTGAAGTCTCTTTATGTATGAGTGTTCGGCTGATAAGAGTTCTTATTAGCCTATTACTTAAGTTTAAGTTATCTTGTACTGGGCCTGTGTTAATGGGTCTAAGCCTGTTTAATATTTTAAGTTGTTTGGGTGTCTCATCACTAATCAGGGGCATTCCAGTAATTCCTTGTATCATTGTATTACATTCTAATATAAATAACAATATTGTCGACTGAGCTATTCAGTTCGACATTCACAGTATTTCAGAGGTCTTCTTCTCTTCTCYACTACTTCRRATACARCTCCTAAGCTCACATGGTATCAGAGCATTAGCTTCTCCCTGGTTTCAGCCGGCGCACTCTCTCTTCTCTTTCTGTCTTTTCATCTTCTTTCTTCTTTTCTGGGTTGCTGCAGTGAAAACCTAGGGTTTCCCTTGGTTGTAGGGCTCAAGGGAAGTAAGACCCAGAAGCATATGTCCTACTAGGTTATTTCCAGCAAATAATAGCTATTTGGCTACTAAGAGAGGTCTGTRTAGGACAGACCTAGTTGAGGACTGATTTCAACAGTCCTAGCACTAGCCGAAAGGGGGAGAGCTTCTTCTACAGTTGCAGCTTTGAAGCTCCAGCAAGACTTGCACAACATAGTGGTAAAGAGCCCTAATTTCAGGTTGGTTATCAGCCCAGAACCTCTCACTTGCTGCTGTACCCGAACTGCTTCAGCTCAAGTGAAGTCTACCTAGCGAGCTACCAACACCTGATTGTCCAGCACTGTGAACACTTTGGCCAGCTCTAAACAGAGCCATCTACTCTAAGACTGAAGTCAGGATGTCCTCACTATCCAGAGAAGTTTCCTCTAGAGATAACAGACCTGCTGCAAGGTTCTCAAACCTGGAAAACCCTAATCTGCACAGCTTGTAGATTACAAGTGTGCTGCTGGATGAATATAACTTCAGAGAGTGGTCCGTCTCAGCAAGACTTTTCATTACTTCCCGTGATCTCACAGGCTATTTAGATGGGGCCAAGAAGGAACCTGAAGTCGGCAGTCCTGAGCATGCCGTGTGGCACAAGGAAAATGCCACAGTCATGTCTTGGTTGCTGGCCTCCATGACTCCTCGGGTTGCCAGAACTGTTCATCATTTCCCTACAGCTGCTAAGGTTTGAGAAAAGGTATCTAAGACCTACGGCCAGAAGAAGAACAATGCTAGAATCTATAGATTGAACCAAGACATTGCAGCTCTAAGGCAAGGAGATATGACGGTTGCAACATACTTTGCAACTCTGGAAGGCCTTTGGGAAGAGCTTGATCATCACTTGATATTGGATTGGGAAAATGCCAGGGACAAGGAGAGACATGATAAGCAAATTGAAGAGAGCAGAGCCTTCAAGTTTCTGGCTGGCCTAGACCCAGTGTATGAGGGTATAAGGTCACAAATTCTAGGGAGAGATGAATTACTAGAGCTACACCATGTCTATTACCTGGTGAGAAATGAAGAAGTCAGGAGAAGGGAGATGCAAGTTGATTCTCAGACACAATCAACTGAACTATCTGGAGAACATTCAGCCCTAGTCTCCACTAAGGGAAACAGATATCCAGACAAGAAGTCCCTCAAGTGCACCCATTGTGGTGGTGAGAAACATACAAAAGAAAAATGTTGGGTCCTATATCCTCATCTGAAGCCAGGTGCATTGAGAAAGGACAAGAGACAACATAAGGGTCATACGGCAAGTGGGAATCTTGCCACCAACAACAGTGGTGACAACTCACAAAGTACTGCAACAGTGTCTTCTTCCTCCATAGGGCAGGTTGCTGACTCCTTTGGAGCTGGTACTTTGGGCTTCACGGCTAGTGAGGTAGAGGTTCTCAGTCGGGCATTAGCCCTTCTGAAAAACAATTCTTTTGCTTCCACCTCTTTTGCCAGATCATGTACAGTCTCTGCCTTTAGTGCAACTAGCTCCATTGATTCCAC